ATGGATTATATACTTATAAGTAGTTCTATGTCGGAATTGAGATAGAACAGGTGTGTCTTTAGTGAATTATTATGTCATATTTCAATAAATGACATGAACATACGTGATGAAATTAAATTTGATTTATTTTGTGAATTTTTAATCAATTGGAATGAACAATGAGCATTAAAATGTGTCAAGTTATGTCTTGGACAGGAACAATTAGCCAAAATCTTAATTGCTCAGAATTATCTTGCTATTTATTTTAAGACGTAAGGTTTTGTGCAGCTTATTATAGAATACCAAAGAAATTTTCAAGAACAATTGCTTTTAATAATCCACAACACTATAATGCTTGGATTTAGTTAATCTGCTTATCATAGAACAATAAAAATTTAACATAATCTTAATGGAAAACCATTTCAATTTTTAAGCTCTAGATCAAAATATATCTCAATTATGTGGCATTAATGTTTAAGCATGCAAAGTCCGCTTATAATTTGAACTTAATATTTTTTCGAATAAAATTCAACTAGTTTCCAACACAAACAGCGAACCAAAGAGTACAAACCTTGATATTTCCCATCTTAAACTTTCAAATTATTCTTTACATTTCCTTTTACTCTGAAATTGTTATAGCTGTTTTCTTTTTCATGGAAACAAAATATTTTTATAAACAAAGAAGCAACAATAAGTTCAGGAAATGGAAAACTACAGTGCAATTTTTTCTCTGTTTTTCTTCTTTCTTTTAAAAGGGGAACTGCTTCTGCTTCTGATGTTATGAACTTGAAAGATTTCATTTAGTTCTTGAAGGAATCATCAAAACCTCATTCACAATGATTAAAATCAAGAACGTGAATGAAGTGGATACATACAAGTTTAAAAACAATTAAAACATGGTCACGCATGGCGCATTTTTTAAAAGTGTAATTAAAATCCTGCAATGGAGTAACAAATTTAAAGGTAGTTCAATAGCCAGATAACCAAACAGCCCAATTGACTAACAGCTAGATAAACTGACAGCAAGCTAAATTGATAGCAAGGAAGACTGAAAGCAAAGAGACTGACAGCAAAACAGAAAGAAAACAAAACAGACAAACAGCAAAACAGGCAAACAGCAAAACACTGAAACGAAAGACGCACTGAAACGAACACCCGGGTGGACACAGCCAGTTAAAGTCCATTATTGGACAATCATTTAACAGTCTTTTAACTTGCCAAAATTTATACGACATAGAGAACTCGACGTTAACTAGATTTTAACTGCACATTCATGCTAATCAATCAAGTGTTCGAAACTCAAAAATAATTTTCCTTACTTTTTTGGCCATATACTTCACAAGCGCTTGCAGAAATCACTTATATAAGGTCTACCAAAATTTGTATGAAAATTTTAAGTAAATATAAATGTTTCACGCGCAAGTGTTCGAGACTCAATGTTTAATAGAGATTTTTCATAAGTGTTAGTGTACTTTAATTAATTAATTACACTAATACAATAATAATATTTTACATAAGCAAAAAAAATGGAGAAAAAGACACGTGTTATTTATTTTATTTCGATTTTTTTTTAACTGGACATTAACTAGACATATGTGCACTTCCTATGTCCAGTTAAATGGAAAGCGCAAAATATGTCATTAGTCGTCCCTAAGTCTAGTTGCAAAGGCACGTCAATGGATACTTACTCGCCATGAATAGACAAGTCAATGGCAAGCTTTTAACTAGTACTTTGTCCACTCGGTACAGACTGACAAAATTTCTGCTTTAAAAAATATTCAAAATTAAAAGCTTAAAACGGAAAGTACTTCGACAATTCTCTCGAAACTTTCTCTGCCTTTCTTTGAATTGAAGAAATACTGTACCTATGGATGAGAAGAGGAAGATAAAGTGTAGCTGATGAAAAAAGTTTTTAATTGATGATCGAAAGGATTTTTCTCATTGAAATTTTTAATGAGTTTTTTTACTTGAGAATTAAAATATTTTTTTTATTTTTTAAAAATAATGAGGAGTCTTCTTCTTTAACCGCTATAAAATTATAAGATCCATTTGAAGCACTCGGTAAGAGTCATTCAAGTATAATTTGATAGAGAAACTTTAGTCAATTTTACTGGAGAGCCATAAAGGATTTGGAATATGTCAGAAAAGGTAATCGGATTTATGCTTTTGCACAAGCTGCTTATGTGGAAGTTGAACTTATTTTTTTCGGTGCATGAATAAATTATTTACCTGCCATTTAGCGACATTTCAAAATGTCAAAGCCATTAAAGTTTCAAATATTTGCAAAAATGTTTGCTATTCAGTGAACTTATGAATGCAAGACGTGAAAAAAAATTGAAATTCAATTTAGGCACTCAACATAAGAATTTTTTTTTTCAATTTCCGTAGGTTTTGAATGGCATCAAATATGGAATTTTGTTGCCGATTCAAGACTCAAGCTGACAATCCATTGAACCAACTTTATGTTATGATTAGCAGCATTCCTTGTAATCATTGAAAGATTAGCTCCTAGGAGGATTCAAACCCACTTCATCACAAAAGAGAGGAGAAGAAGATTTTCAGTTTATTGTGAAGCTACTAATCCAGAAATTCCATACACTTCATTCGATATGCTGTTTATCAGAGCTCGAAGTCGACTCGACTCCGCACAAAATCTAATCGATTTTGAGTTCTGCTACTATGTCGCGGTCCAAAAAATTTGAGAACCACTGGTTAAGGGTACTAAAATTCTCATTTCCAAATAAATTACCCTCTAAACCCAAATCAAAGCATTATAAAACACAGTGAAATTAATCAACAGAACATAAAATCAGACACAAGCATTTTTTCATTGATCACATCCTACACAAACAGGAACGAAACATGATATTTTTTTATTGACATAACAAAACTCAACCAGCGAATGTTTCCGATATCTTCTTTCAACTTCTGACAATTAACAGCATCGATAAAAAAAAAATTATAGCCACAGTGTCCGCAATAACGCCTACACTTTTTCAAGAAATGAAAAACATTTCAACAAGTCGACCAAAACACTTTATGACTCATATACGATTAAAATCTTAGAGCAATAAAAAGAATTTCTATTAAATAATTTAATTACAAATGTTACAGAATTTGGCTAAAAAAATTGTCCTTTTGCGTGACGGTAGAAAACATCTGTAGAACATTGTGGTTACAAAACTACATCCATTAGAGAATTGTAAAGCTTTATCCATAAATTAGCATCGAGCAGATTAGCAACAGCGGTTTTGTGATAGCTTTGGAATGTGAACTTATTCTTCATAAAAAAGGAAAGTTTTTTTTTTTGGCAAACGAAGTCATTTATCTTTCCATCAATGTCTTATTAAATTCTAATTTAGTTCTGTTTGGTGTTTAAAAATGATGTCTAGTTTTTTTTTTGGGGTGGGGGGGGGGGGGGGAGGGAGGGGGTCTGTCTGTCGATAAAGTCATCCCAGTTTGAAACTTCAGGACAGAGGAACATAAATTTTATGTTTGATGGACATCATTTATGAACAACTCCTCAACAAAGTTGGAATCTTGATTTCATTTAAGTCTTAAGAATTTTTAAAGGCTTCATTTCCAGGAGACCTAATCTTCAACTCTGGATGTCTGAATTGTGCTGTGAGATTGCTTGTACTTTATTCAGTCAATCTTTCGTCGGAATTGAACTTGCATTTTTATTTACTAAAAGCTTCTTGAGTGCATATATTTTTAGCAACCCCCCCCCCCCCCCCCCCCCCCCCCCTTAAGGGTGCGGAACTGATAAATTTCAATTTGATCATTTTTAATCATTTCATCAGCTTTGCATCCTTGCCACCCCACTTCTCCTTCAAATCATCTTGATCATCTTGATATGATACAATATGCACCTAAGACTCAACTCTGCTCTACTACCACAATGAGTTAAGTTCAAGGACAAATAATCATAATTAAAAAATACAAACCAAGTCAAGCAAATTACATAAAAGTCATAAAAAATTATACGACAGAATCGTGACAATCCTCGAAAGTGAATAAAATTTAAAAAAAAAGTGTAAAATATATTCCCACTTGATTCTAGCTCAAAGGATACAGACAACACATTTTATATAAAAAATTCAAATGATCAAAGGGATTAGCGTACGTAAAATAAAAGCAGCGAGGAAGCATTTTTCTTTCTTTGACATTAAAATGTTTTCATTAATTTAAAAGATTTTTTTTTTCTTAAGGCGGATGTAAAATGTTTAACAGGAATCAAATTACAAAAGGTTTTATATTCCTATTAAGTATTAATGTGCTCTTATCCGTAAATTAGAAATGTTCTTTAATTAGACCCAGGAAGTAAAGGGATGAACAGATGGGATTTTTTTTTTGAGAGTCAATCATTGTTGGCTAAGCTGAGTTGAGGGGGGGGGGGGGGCATCATCTGGGGAGTATCTCTGGATTTAATTTAATTTTTTCTTGAGAAGGTCTGGATCTTGATTGATGTTTTCGGGTCGATCTTCTTCTTTCGTAGAAAATTGTTTACTATTTTGTAAGTTTTAAAGTTGTTCGCATATAACTCCTAATATATAGCGTGTGTACTAGTGAGGGTTGGGCATATCAATCGTGTAAGGCTATAATCAAGAAAAGATGAGTTGCAGGGGACCAGAAATGCTAATGTATGCCTAAGATAACGTTTTCTGATCTAATTCATAAGACATATTTGAACTTGAATTTTTAACTCTCCTTTAATCGAACCCAGATAATTGACATCAGTTGTAAATGATTCTATACATTTAGCTATTGATCTTCCAAAATCTAGATCATCTGCGCTCATTCATAACAATTTTATATTATTTTTATCCATGAAATTCAATTCCTACGAAGAACATCCATGTAGGAAGAACTCTGTCAACAAAATCGAATAAACACAAACATAATGTTTTCGTACCCTCCCGTAAAATTTTCATACATCGTTCGGGAATGGCCATAAAAATAATTTGAAACAGAGCTGCACGTCTCAGCAAGAAAATTGGGTTAATCTTGAAAATACATACCTAATTATACATGCTATCAAATATTCCTGCCTTAAAGCTTAATTATGCTCGATTAATCGTCGCAAAGTTTTTCCTCACCCATTTCGCACACATACACACACAGGAATTAATGTCACAGTATATGTTAATTATCACGAAATTTAATTAATTATTTAAACATTTTTTTCTTCACTTTTATGTATTTTTTTGGGTACATTCAATTAAACTGGATATCTCGTTTCATTGGTTTTTATATATTCAGCAGCATGACAAAAAAATAAAATTTATTCACACACTTTTTTTTTGTCAGTTCCATGTACGAGATGAATAAAAAATAATAATAATTTTCCACTGTCACGTTACAATTTTTCTCACAACGTATCGAGGCATGATAGTTAATTTTTATTATACATCTATTTATGCCTTAAATTGTTTACACGCTACGATACTTAATTCACTTTTTCTCCTTTCCAGTTAATCTCATCGTCAATAATAATTATAAATACTGATTTTTTTTTTCTGTCTTGTTCACAGTCAATCAATTACTGTAGCTTCACAGTTAATTATGTGTTGTTAATAGTCCACGAAATTAGATCATTCATTTTAATAATGTCTCTCCGTATGCTACAGGAAGCAAACAAAATTGAATAAGATGAAGATTATCGTCGTTAATAATGACAAGCTGTTGATGTTTATAAACGCATTAAAAACCTAGGTCAGAGGAAGTTTGGAGTGAAAGAAAAAAAAAATCGTTTCTAAAAATACGACATCATCGTCTGAGACATCAAATGAGAGGAAAAGTATTCAATTTTTTTTCCTCAAACAAGAAACAAAAATTTTATGGCCAAAATTAAATAATCTTATGAAATATTTCCGATAAACTTTTTTCAGATTTTTCCTCACACACACAAAAAATTTCCAAATTCCAAATAAGCTATGAATAAGAAGGAGAGAAATGGATGTTCATCTGTATAGTTTTTCATGGGACATTCTGAAAAATATAGTTTTGCTTGTCTGAACCAACAAGTATACATACTAAGTGATTATTTAATGACGTTGCTTGAATTTTTGAACTGTTCCTAGATTAATTATTTAGGGGCCGTTCACTTATGACGTCCAGGGGGGGGGGGGGGGTCAGCATCAAAAAAACAAAATAAATTCCTAGAAATCCATTGTTCTTTTTTGAAAAATGACCGTTAATATCGGACGTCATAAGTGAACGACCCCTTATTGAATTTAAATTAATTTTCAAAAAATATATCCGAGAAAAATTTGGGATTGACCCTCAAAGACAGTCACATTTTTTCATAGAAGGAAGAGGATATTAGGAAGAACTTAATAACCAAAGGCTCCTACCCTTGTATCAGTTTTTCACATTTTAATTGCACTGACCACATACTGTCCGTTATTTTAATCAACAACATTGGATTTTATACCTAAGGTGCCCCAAGGAGCGCCAGATACAGGCATTGATTTTTTTTATTGTTTGGACCAAAGGTTTAGGAGGTGGGTATGGAGCTAGGGTTCTCAAGAGCCCTTAGCTTATTGAAGTTATTTTCATATCAAGGAAAGTTTTGCTTCTTTTGGCTACACCTCTGAGAATTATACAATTTATGTATGACGATACTAATTTTAATGTTGAGGTAGGTTTTCAGATTTTTTTTAAAAAAAAAAATTCTAGCACCAATAAATAAATTTGCATTGTCCAACTGTGAATCTAGTCGACCGTTTCACGCAAATTTTAAAAATTTATGACATCAGGGCTTTTTAAGTCCTGATGTTCCCAATTTGCACTTCAATAATCATCATGAAGGAGATCCCGAACCATTTACATATTTAAAACATCCAACTTTGTGAAGAAAAGTCAGAAAACTAGTCCAACTTTCCGATTAAAACTTCAATAGCCTCCCTAAACAATACACAAAACGTGAATATTAAAAGTAAGATGAAGCATAAGAAAAAATCAAGCTTGTAAAATTAATTACACTAAAGTCAAACACACAGCATAAGATAAAGATGTATCTCGCGAAACTTTCGGTCAACTTTTCTTGTTTTATTTATCAGCTGGGAGATAACTCGTGTAAAAAAAACTTTTCCTTTACTTCTGTGGCTTATCTTGGAGATAAAAATGAAATAAAAGTGAAACTTCATCAGCATTATCATTATTGTGTGAGTCACTTGTGACCGCAGGATGTACGTTTTGGCATTTAAAGCTTTATCACATCATGAGGGGAAGGAACGATCTTGTCGTTCGTACAATCGTAATGTGTCATAATCACTAAAGTTATGCAACGTGCCGTGTAATTTCCTCGATTGCCTTTATGTCTGCTGCGGTAATGTTGGTAATGGTAAAGGAAATTGAAATGGTAAATGCGGCTGTGATGCTTACTATTTATAGTGGCTTGCAACAGACATAACCGAGATACGACAATCTATCGATCATTTACAGTACTTTTTCTCTTTCTCTCTCACTCACTTCCTCTGCAGCTTGTAGATTCAATTTAGTTCGAATTGAAAATTATGTCATTAAATGTAAATCGATTGCTCACATTTGTTGACGAGAAAAACTCATTTATTTATGGATATACACTTTTCGAAACAAAATTAATCACAAAACTTCTTTTTTTTTCACCGATAAAACTTTTCTTCTAGTTCTTATTTTTGTCTCGCAATTCACACTTGCCCCAATAACATAATTGAATAAATCTTTTCAATTTTATATTTTATTTACGCAAAAAAGTCAAAAATCCAACCGCACTGCTTAAGAGATGCATGAGAACTGAACAGTGAACAATTACTGATAAAATTATTTTTTGTCTGCAAACTTTCATCACTCATACTCAGCTCGTCATGTGAACGGACTGGAAAATGAAACATTTCCAGTGGAAAATCTCACATTTTCCGGCTTCTCTGACTTACATTTTCTATTTCCTTTCATCTTTATGACACATGGTCGTTCTGTAAATATTTTGATTGGAACTTAATGTTTATGTATTGGGTCATAAAATCGGTCTCTATAGTGTCTAAGACCTTCCAATAAAAAAAAAATTCGTCTCTAGCAATAAAATTTAATTATCACAAAATTGTTATCTAGGCATTAAGATCTTTAATAATTCATACGTCAAGTGATTGCGGAATGGCAACAAAAAAACAAGGCGGAAGAAGATTCATGATACGAAAACAATGTCGCTTCTCATTTTCATGTTTAAAAAGCTTTACGAAGTAAGCTTCAGTCTCAGAATGTTGACGAAAGAAAAATGAAGAGGTTGATAAGAAGAGAAGCTAAAGAGATTGTTTGTAGGATAAAAGAATGAGGAGGCATTTCCATTATTAGATTAAATGGTTTACTTTTTTTTTGTTTTGAACGTCGGATGAATGAAGACAATTGGATCTTTTGGGTAAGCGATTAAATTGAGTCATTCATGCTTTTTAGGGAGATGCATATGTTTCTTGATTAGGTGAGAAATTTTTGGTTATATACTCAGTCTTTTACTATTTAAGGTAGGGGATTAAAGGAAGCAAAATGTCAAAGTCAATACCTTCTCGTGGCAAGTTTTAGCTATTCTGTGCTAAACAGGATAATCTTAAGTTTGGATTCTGCCAAACTGCTAAGCAGCCCACAGCTAAGTAGATGTATTGTTACATTTTTGAACAGCAATTGTTTGTTCGATTCCCACTCCGGATACGTTTTTGGAAATTGAATCCAAAATTTAATTCTAATATTCAAAAAACGGTTGTTATTACCGCAATTTTAGTTGAGGAACTCATAAAAATGTGATTAATTTGTAATATATCCTTGATTATACCACTGAATTCAAGACAAATCTAAAACGAAATTAAGACTTGGCATTGAATCACAATTTAGAGCTGCCAGAACAAAATAATGAATTTCTTAATAAAAATTCTAATCAAATTGATAAGCTTCATCAAAATTCTTTATATCCAACGATTAACAAAGCTGATGGAAAAAAAAAGATTCGATAATTTATTCATTGCCTTGCAATGTTCTAACACAGATCAAATTCTGTAGGATTTTAATTTAAAATTTTCAAAGGAAAATATGATTAGACTTTCATATGCAGCATATTATGAAGAACATCTTCCGTGGTTTTTCAAAAAATGAATGGAAGCATCGTGAATATTTAATGAATGAAATATTAAAGCTGGTTTTATAAAGTTTTCAAGCGCTGGTTAATGATTTATTCAACTCAACAGTCAGTCACTCATCAATCATAATTTTGAACTCGGAATTACATTTGAAAGCACATCAACAATTGGATATATAAAGCCTGAATAGTTTTAACTTTTTCAACAAGTTCTGTTCTATATTTCAAACCGTAAATTGATATGGAAGTTCTGAGGCTTTTTATTGTTTGCCTTTTGTGCTGCTCAGTATCTGCTGATGTGCAAATTACTTCAAATCAAAATCTATCGGAATTAGCAATAGCATTTTCTGAAATATCTCAAGGACTTCAAGCATCACAGACCATTACAATTTTAAATTCTGAAAATCGTAAATCGAGCGCATTCAACGAGCTTATTATGGAAATTCATCGTCTTCAGCTTCAGACGTGCATATTTAATGACACTGAGAGATTCTTTGGATACGTTAAAAAGAATCTGAAGGGCTCGGTTGAAGTTACAGCACTGATTTTCCATAAACCTGATTATCTCATTCAGAAGGTAAGATTTGCATCTTTAAGCTTAGTTCCTTGTGAAAGTTTTGAAGTTAATTTCGTTAATTTGTTAATTATTGATGCACAAACTTGTGAACAAAATCTGTCGAAACTGCCTTCAAAAATTATAAATCCTGTCTATCTATTGAAATTCAATCCTTTTCCACCAGAATTATATCAGATTCCTCAATTGTCACTTCAAGGGACGGAATCGAGTTCTAGAAAAGTAAAAAAATCTCTTCTTTTTCGTTCCTAAGCAGATCCATGAAAGAAATCTCGCTCATCGACTGAGTCTTTACATTTTCTATTGGAATGCAAAGCATTTGCCTGCATGTTATAAGCAATGGAACCTTCAAGATCCGCTTCGTGCTGCATTTATTACAAATCCAAGGAATTTTACTTATCGCATTTACTACAATCAAGCAACATCATCAAATGATGGGAAATTAAAGCTTGTCAATTGGTTTGATGGAAATAACCTTGGCTTGAATACAGAACCACTTTTGCCTGACATTAAGCAAGTCTTTAAAAGCTTCAATTCTCGTCATTTTGTTGTTCCTATAACTCATGTAAGCTTGCAATATTTTTGTGTCCATGCATTGATTTTTTATTGTCTCAAAAATAATTCATAGAGTCCTCCGTGGATCTTCATAAATTATATTCAACAACGTGACAATGACGATGCCAATTTATCATCAATGCCTGCAACTATCTCAAATGACAATAACATTATTGATGATGAAATGATGATGAGCGAGGAAAAGTTTGTGAATGAAACAAAAACAGACAAAAAGGACAATGAGGACGGTAGGAACACAAATAAGAAACAATTGGTTGTAAGTGGAAGGGATGATGTGCTGTTAAAGTTACTGGCAAACAAAATGAATTTCGAATTCGAATATATTGACGTGAAAATGATGGAATCAAATGAGAACGTGACGATGGCTGGTGCATTGGGATTACAAATGCTCCAAAGACGAGTAAGACATGCTTCTTATTGTCCATGACTTGAACAGTCACAAGATTATTCTTGTTTTTTCTTCATTTCCTTTTTCATTTATGATAGGAAGCAGATTTTGTGTTTGGCGATATCGTTGTCACTTACGAACGAATGCAGGAAGTTGAATTTTCATTCTTTACACTTCCTGATTCCGGGGCATTTCTCACTCATGCTCCACGTCGTTTAAGTGAAGCATTTGCTCTTGTCTATCCATTTCAGATGGAAGTATGGCCTGCATTGATTTTTACAATCATCATTACTGGACCCATCCTATATTTTATGATAATCATACCAGAATGGATAAGGAACAAGAGAAGGAAAAGGAAATTGTTGGAACATCCTGCAAAATCATTCTATAACATGATTTACATTAAAGAGATTACAAGGCATCAAGCAAGAAACTTGAAAAAGCATGTCACGACTACTACTGCTATTGAGAACGATAGACAAGTCAATTCGGAAGGTCTACTTGCACGCTGTGTTTGGTTCACATGTCAAATCTTCTTAAGGCAATGTTCGTCCTTTATTATTAAAAAATTCATGAATAAATGAAAATTGATTCCTTTTTTTCTGAGCAGCAACGAACTTTCCGCACATCAATAATCACTCAGTTAGACTATTTTCCATAATTTTATGGTTATCAGCTACGTATGTATTAAGTGATTTATATTCAGCACAGCTCACATCACAATTAGCTCGTCCTTCAAAAGAATTACCAATCAATAGTCTTTATCGTCTTGAATATGTCATGAATAAAAGCAACAGTGATGGATACAAGCTACTTGTTGAAAGAGATTCAGCATCACATCACATCCTGATGAATGGAACTGGGATAATGCAACGACTTTATCGCCGGATGACTAGTCATACTGAGAAAAATTCACATTTATTGGACTCAGTGGAACAAGGAGTTCGAACTTTATTGATGGATGATAAAACTGTCGTCTTTGCTGGACGTCAAACGCTGTTCTTTAACATGAAACGATATGGAATGAGAAATTTTCAACTTTCTGAGAAACTTTTTACGCGCTACTCAGCAATTTCATTGCAAAAAGGATGTTTGTTCCATGACAGCTTGAATGAGAAGTAAGAACCAGGAAGAAGAACTTTTTTAAGCATATTAATTTATCTTCTTTTCAATTTCTCTTTTATTATAAGCTTAATGAAACTTTTTGAAGGTGGAATTTTGGATAAAATCACTAGCGATGAATACGAGAGGATGTTTCAATCAATGCAGGTATTACAGATAAAAAATGATAAGAATATTGAGAACAATGAGGAAGTAGACGATGATAAAACTGATACAGAAGAAGAAGTAGAAACGAACTCAAATTCCATCAATGGAGATGAAAATCTGAAAAACAAAATAACAAGCGAGAAGGAATTGACAGCACTCAGCTTACGAATGTTGCAGGGTGCATTTTATCTTGCTATAATTGGCTACATTCTCGCGTTCCTTGTCTTTATCGGTGAAATTGGATTTTTTCAAATGAATGGCACATCCGCATTGCCTTACACTTCAATTACTAATCGATTACGCACAGCCTTGATGAGAATTTGTCGCTTACGATTACATCACTGAGAATCTCTCGTGAACATGATCATGCACCATTAACTTTTATGCTAAAGCACGAGATTAAAGCTTACTTACAGTATTCAATTTCAGGATGCATTATGCACAGACAAACGAGTCTTAAATGCAGCAGCACAGTCATAATCATTTAGAATTTCTTTGTTAAATTAAGTTTTTTTTGCCTTAGTTTTGCATTTTAAACATGCACATGACATGCAATAAGGTTGAAGATGCATTCACAATAAATTTTCATTATCTCATTAAGGAATAAGCTCCTCATTGCAGTTGAAGGTACATGATGACATGAAAAATCGATTTTCAGTTTCCATTCAGCACAGCAAGTACAGTCAGCAATAAAATATTTTTTAGACATTTCTTATCATTCAAATTGAAGGAATTGTAAGCAGCAATTCAATTAGAAGAAAAAAAAAGCAATTAGAAATTTTTCTCATTTTCATATAAAATTGTATGTGGAATAATTGATGCAGCACAAACATCTCAATCTTGAAGACAAACAACAACAAAAAGTTTTTTAATTGAATCTCAAAGCAGTTCCTGTGAAGCTCTTAAATACACCAGATTAAGAAGTTAAAATGAGTAATTCGAATTTCTGCCTCAACTTTATTTTATTGCCTGACACAAAATTCTTTTCTGTCCACAAACTCTTATTTTTATGTTCAAGCTTCTTATTCCTCATTGAGTAAAATTCTCCTCAGAAAATTAATTAAGCAAAAATGTTAACGAAAAATGCTCTGAAGCGAAAGATGGGAATTTGTGTGTTTGGTGAAAGAATTTCAGGGCATGTAACACAATGGAAATGGATATGAATAAGAAAAGAATGGATATAGTAAAATCACAATGATATTAAAGATTACTTCAAGCCACATTATGCGAACCCAAAACTTATTTTATTGAGCTCATGAATGAAGAGAATGAAAGTTCCAAATGAAGCTCATTTGACCACTTTTATCGATTTTTCTATGAATCTTGACATCATTGAATGAGACTTAACAATTTACGAAAATTATTTCTAACTCTGAATCGAATAAAGAAATGAAAGAAGAGGAAGTCATGCTTATTGACATTCAATTCTATGTTCGTCAATATAATACCAAATTTGTGTATTCATTCCTACTTCTTCTTCCATTTCAATTAGAATGAAAACAGATGTGAAATTATAAGGACTAGAATTTTGGAATAAGAAGCTCAAGAAAAAAAATGAATCATTTTTCTTTATCCAAACATGGCATTCGGGAAATTCACGTACTTATGATTTTTCTGCAGTATAGGTCGTTATTTCTAATAATGAATCCACATGCTGCTTAATAATTCTAGGATGATATTGAAAAAATTCTTCGGAGGCTATGAGCTGTGCTGAAAATATTTTTATATAAAATAAAGGATAAACCAGTGGTTCTCAAACTGTATGCTGCAGTACAATATTATTGGTTGATAGTTCTGGTGCCCAGTTTTCAGAAATTGAGTTCAAACCTAATGTTAAGAGAATCTAAAGTGCCGCAAAATGAAACAGGTTGAGAAACACTGAGATAAACGATAAGCCTATCCCATGGGATTTCATCCTTGTAAAGAATCTATTTATTGAATGATACAGCTCTTTTCAGCATTTTATTAGCCTGAATGCTTTTTAAGTCCCCTAAAAATCAAACGAGCGAACTATTGGGGTTTAAAAATTCACTATCAAAGATTCAAGATATTTCAAAGGTACCTAAACATCCAAACATATCCCACATGTGTTGCTCTTTGACTGCTTTTTAATATCTCACAATTTAGTGATTCCCAAAGAATATTGAAACTCATCTAGTTGAAAATAACACTCAAAGATATGTCAGAATGTAAAATTCTCCATCCATTCAAATAAATTTTCTAAAGGCAAGGATCCGAGCTTTCTTCTAAACATGAATAGCGTGAAATTTTTGACAATAATTGACAATTAAATTCTGAATGTGTTCTGAATTTTCTCATGAGCGAATATTCTCGCTTTTATGATGTCATTGCTGAATGTCAAAAGGAAAATAAATACATTAAAGCCATTTCGTTAGGTGTGAAAAATACAAAAGGAGAAGTCAACAGGTTTTGTGAATAAACATCAACTCAAAATCACCATGGAGAGATTCTTTGCTGATTTCACAAAGCGATAATAATGAATTTCTATTCATATGTGTATAGATGGTTGGTAAGAGTCAGTTTGTGTCACTATACACATCTAAATTTATTTGGAACTAGAACTTGCTTCTCGTGAGGAATTGAAGGGGAAAATTTGAAAAGAATATTTATGATTTGAAAAGAATTTGAAGTTTGAGGAGTTTTAGATGAAGATTTTAACATTTTTGGAACGGTTTTTTCGGATTTGAGTTCAACTTAAAAGGTTTAGCAGTGGATGTAATTATTTTCGTAGTTTCGTGCCCTTTGAGATCAAAAAGAGCGGGGAAATTTAGTCAGAAAATTTATGTGAATCGAATATCACTTTCTGTAGCAATTAAACAAAATAGAGTGACTTAAAAGTAGTAGCCTGATACGTTCAATTCAAGTTCGACAGACTTATCGAAAGTCTAGGGGTGTTATAATATGCACGTTCGAAAAATTTAAATTTGAAAAACCGTTACAATTTTTGGTCATTTTATTAAAGTTTTTGACAGTTTTGAAAACAGATTTAGCTTTATTTCTTAATTTCGTGGAAGAATTGCTTAATTTTTTTTTTTTTACTTTTTCCTAATTTTCGAAAATTTCGAACCGCTGGGTATGAAACTTCGAATTTTGCATGGCAGACAGACAAATAAGACGTTTTTACAAGTGTTTTTGGAAACTGTAACGGCCGAAACTCTTGAATTGTTCGTATCAGGTAGTAGCCTCATTATATTTAACAATAAGCCAGGGGCGTAGCCAGGGGAGGCCATAGGGGGCCCCCCCCCTACGAAAATCTGATAATTGTTTTATTAAGTATTTATAGAGAAGAACCAGTTAATGTAGAGGAAGTGATGAAAGAAATGTCAAAATCATCACGAAAAATTAAATTTAATGAATGAATAATGAATTAAATACTTAAACTTATGAACAATGAATATAAATTTAAGGATACAAAATAACGGTTTTTTAATTTTCGAAAATGGGCCCCCCCTTAAAAATTTTCTGGCTACGCCCCTGCAATAAGCAATACTGTTAATCGTAATAGCAGCAAGGACAGACTCAAAAATTATATAAATCCTACCAAAAAACTTTGTTTATCCAGTATATTTTATATATGGATATCTTATTATAGCGTTTATATATTTTTCGTTACAGTCACATATTGCTGCCATTCCCTCAGTCTCCCTTACCACGTATACAAGTTTCAATGAGCTTAAACATTTCAATTTGACATTTCGGTATACTAGGTTAAGTGTTCATATAAAATGAAAAAATATCTAATAGAAAAATTTCTTCAGTATCTCGTAAGGAAAAAACCAAGATAGTACTTTTCGAAAATGAATTTACTGTCACAGGAAATGCATAACAAGATATCAAATGCATGCAGTTGAGCATAGTCATCATTTCGTTGCGCAAGAAGAAACTTATTTTTATAAGCCAGGATGATGAGGATTCCTGTACAAAAGTGGATTCATGAGATATTCATATCATGTAATTTAAAAAGCAGAAAGTTAGCAGGATGATGATGAATAATAAATCAAAGAAACGACTTTGAATTATAGCTAATTTCACGATAATTGAGTTTATGCATACAAAGGGTTTGATCTGCAACTTCCAGAACTGTATGGATTCTGTACGTCGATACGGTTAATCATCCAATGCAAATTATTTTTATTATATTTGATTATTAATGATAGGATCATCACATGAAAGCAATGAATCGAATGGATCTTGTGTAATTTCGTAAAGAAGTTCAATTAAAAGGATTACAAGCAATTTGAATTTGGAAAGGGATTAATAATGTCCTATTTTGTTTGATATTTATTAAACTTAAAGAGAAAACAATGTGTTGGGCAAAAATTTAATTAAAAGTTCTCACCAATTTCTCACTATGATTTTAAATTTTATCAAAACTATATCATCCTGTATGATATTCGGTAGTAATTTCCTATGAAAAATCATGTCCCATCGTTTGGTTTTCCCCTTGTTGAGTTTAATAATATAGAAATTTCATGTTATAGCTTGGATTATGTTGTAAATTATACTCTTCACAAAACTTCTCAAAACATGAAATCCAAAAAATTCTAGTCAGAAAATATCTCGAGAGTATCAATTAGCAAAAAAAGCTCATAATTTCAATCTGAATAAATTATGCAATGCACGTACATGCATTTCCGTCATGAATAACTTTAATTGATATCATCCAATGTAAAAACAGCATACGTTGAAAAGGAAGTAAAAGAATGAAAAATTAAGATGTATCCTTAACATCTAATGAGACATCATTAGTTTTAATGATATTGTTAGTTTAAAAAAGATCATCGTGATACTTTAAGTGCTTATCTATTACTTAACATAAAGCGTTCATTGCAGACATGAATTTGCACATCACTTATGATGTATTCATATTTAATAGAGGCAAGTAAGGATGAACGGAAAGAAATAAAGAAAATGGAATTCTTTTTTCTGTCACAACAGCAAGAAAAAAAAAATAAGTTTCAAGAGAAAGAGTCAACATCATAAAAATCCTCGAGGATATCAATAAATCATGATTTTCCTTCATATGAAATATTGAAAACGATAAATTCGTTTATTCATTCGCTCTTGCACCATTAAACTTTTATTTCTTCGATATTATTCCACAGCTGACATATTTTTCAATTTTAAATTGGAAACAATTTTCTTGATCAGGAAATGCTTCAAGAACAGAAGAAAGAAAGAAAATCTTTGTTCCGGGAAGTTCGAAGAACAGAAAAAAAACCTGTGTGAGCTGCATAGTCAACAAATTATTTTTTGAAACAGAAGAAAAGATGAATTTTCTAGTAAAACTCATATTGGAAGGGAGTGTCGAGAATAATGGGAAA